AACCATTTGTCTCATTTTCGAATCCAGACTATCCTACAATGTAGAAAACGACCTAGACATGCTGCACAATAAATTTCTGGGTGTAGATATAGATGTCAGGCTATTATGGAACATACATATATATATATACAATTTGCAATAGACTAAATAGTGCAGTATTTGCTATAAGAAAAGTTAAACAACTTATTAACCAATCCGCTGCAATAACTACTTATTATGCACTGTTCGAATCCATTATTAGATATGGCTTGTCTGTCTGGAGCTCGGCAGCTCAGTTTCATTTAAATGCTATATTCGTCATTCAGAAGAGGTCTGTAAGATCTATTATAGGAGCTAATTTTGAAGACTCCTGCAAACCAATCTTTAAAACGTTAAGAATAATGACACTTTACTCTCTGATAATTTTTGTAAAGTTACTATATGTCGAACAAAACATTAATAGTTACTCTGTTGTGTCCGATATACACGGTCACAATACTAGAAATGAAGATTATTTGATTATACCTCAAACCCGGTTACAGAGAATGGACGATACTATTGATATTAAAATGTACAATGCCCTACCTCTTACAGTACGTTCTCTGAACTATACTAAATTCAAAAAACATTTAAAGACATTACTTACGGAAAATCCCCTATATGGTATTGATTACTTTTTCCATTCATTAAAATAAAAATATATTTGAAGAACAGTCAAAGAAAAAACAGGTAAAACGAGAATTAGCTCGATAAATGAGATTGAAGTTCAAAGAAATATTAGTAACAATAAGCAGAATATAATTAATGCATTTGCTGAATTTTTTTCATCTGCAGCAAAAAATGCTGTAATCTCGCATTTTAACAGCACTTATTTTTATAGCTTTACTTCTATGAAAATTGATAATACATTTTACTTTGCCCCTGTGGATGGGCATGGAGTGTCAGATGTGATTCGTTCTTTAAAGAACGTTACAGCCTGGCCATGGGACATTCGCCGATGCGATAATCGCGCGGTGCGAACGGCGAAGCCTCTAGCGACTGAAATAAACGCATAGCAATGTACTTATGGAGCCACGCGCAACGGCGACCGGCGAAATGTAACGAGCGAACCGCGTGGACGACTTGCGGCGTGGCAGGCGAACAAAACAAAGGCATGAATCAGTACGGCGCAGGGGTCGAGAAGTATCGATAGTCTTGACCATCGATAGTATTCGATAGTTCGACTTTTGACTATCGGTAATTATCGATAGTTATCGATAGATCAAATTTCATGACGTGAACCTGGTGGTGATCGTGATCTTATCAACTCGTGGTCTTCGTTCTCAGTACATGAAACTGGTGAAATTCTTTCTGTAAAAAAGCACCTTTCCAAAAACAAATACTTCTAATATGAAGTGCAAGCTAAAATAGTCATCCAAACAGACATTATAATCATTTTTAATTACCTTTTGCCTTGCACGCACTTGCACCATGTTCTTTTGTTAAAAATTTGTCCAATTTTATTGAACGTACAAATTAAAAACCGAAAAAGAATAAAAATAAAACTACAACTAAAACAAAACAAACTATAAAATATAAAATGTGAACATTCGATGATTGGATTGACTGGTGACTTTTTCTTCTTATTTTCTTATCCTAAAATGACAGATGAAACTGATGAAAGAAGTTTCATCTTTCTCTGCTTTTCTCACTTTTGTTCTGAATAATGTTATTTTCTACTCTTTTTTTCACTTCTTTCATTATGTCATTTATGTCAACGGTCAATATCAAGTAAAAAATGTCAAGATACGTTGACATCAGTCACATAACACAACTATCGAATACCATCGATAGTCTAAAAATATAATCGATATTGTTTGATAGTTGAAACTATCGATATTTATCGACAGCGCCATCGATAGTTCTCGACCCCTGATACGGCGCGAGCCACGGAGTCGAGTGGCAGTCGCGGCGAATAGTGCAGTGATCAAACGAGTTTAGTTGTTTTCGCCGCGAAAAATGAACACCGAGACTTTTATTGCTTAAATACTAGCTAGTCTAGCTATTTGGAAGTCTGGCCATCCACAGCATAAATTTAAACATGTAGGGAGATTGTGTTAAGAAATAAAAATGAAATTTCCAGATTCTGAAAATATAGTATCTAAAAGTATAACATCGAAAAGACTGTCTGATTATTATAATTCATAATGGTTGAAAAGAACAAAAAAGACTGATTGAAAAGTAAGAAATTCGTTATTCATTCTACCATAAATTACGTTGTACGAAAAATCACTGTTATATAATTTATATTTTTGCAATTATTAACATTATTATCAGAAAGTGTTTTTGTTTCATGAAATATTATTATACATTTCATATTTCTTATAATATTGTCCTTTTGGAAAGTACGGCCAATGCTCGCAGAGTTTTCATCTCAGTCAAAAAAGACTAAATCGTCCAATCTTTGGCTTAGATTACGGAATGACGTGTAGGAATCGTTTTAAAAAGTTTAAATTACTTACGGTACCATGCTACGAGGCATGGTGACTTATTTAGAACTATAAAGCACCGTACATCACTTTACGAAAGCAGTCTTAAATATAATGGAATACGATTTTTCAATCATCTTCCAAGTGATATCAAAAACGAAAAAATATCAATAAATTCAAAACAAGATTAAAAAATATTTAGTGGAATCCTGCTTTTATGACATTAGTGAATATTTTGCTAATTCATAGTTTTTTTTGATTTGTTGTTTGCTTGTTTGTATGGACGATATGTTCAAAGTAATATAGTTATGTTCACTTATATATGTCTGTGTATATACATCTTATGACTTGTCCTATATCATGTGCATGATCTTAAAGGATGAATAAAGATTATTATTATTAATTGGAGTTTGCTTCCATTATTTGGTTTGCGGAGTACCAAACTTATATAAAAGAACTAGAGAAAATTAACAACAAATTTTGGAGAAATTTATTTTTTAAGCGAGTTCACAAGTGGCCAAACTATTACTCAACAAGATCTTTGGATTTACGCCATGAATTTGAAATATTATCTTCAGAACAGCGACGCCCATTATCAGCAATGATGTTCATGCACAAACTCTTGAATAACAGCGTTGATTCTTCAGAAATTCTCAGTATGTTACCATTTCACGTACCTCCTCGCACCGATTTTGGCTTATGTTCAATATTTCAACCGTAAGTACCGCAACGAAAGCACCACTAATAGCTTTAGTGAAGTTAGTTAACCGTTCGAATATATCGATAGATCTTGACTGGAGACTTTCCCAATCAGTATTCCGAAAACATTTTTAGAACATATATTATGTTATATTTACCTAATTAAGCAGTATTTCCCTCTACAGTTCTGGTACATATTTCACTATTTTTATACATTCATAAGTATTCCAAGGATTATATGAAATTTTATTTTTTTATTCATGTAATTAAGCTGTGATAGCTTTTTTGGATAATAAATGAATAAATATAAAAGTAGATGTTTGGGAAGTATTTTTCTTTCGGGGATTCAATGTTCATATGACAGAGGGGTTTTTTCTTCCAGTTTGTGTTTGAAAGTTACTTCTTTGCATGATCTACACATCATTGTACATACTTTATTTTGAAATTAATGACTTTTTCCTTTCTTTGAAAGATTCCCACATTTTTTTGTATAAATATGTATATGTATAAATTTTCGAATTTTGAAATTAGATTTTCACGAAATACTGATAGTTAAGAATTTGGGCAGTTCTTTTGAAACGTGCAGAAACACATCAAATTTGTTTCCGATGGAAAAACATTTTCATAATCTTCGAAAAGAGTATTTCAACTTTGATGTGTGGAAGAAGTGTTTTTAAATGAATGTGCCATCCATTTTGTAAAGCACATCAAGATCAGCATCATAACAGAAACGCGAATGAATTGAATGAAGTCAACTAAATAACGGTAAATAATTCTGAAACACTTATCACTTTACTCAGCCACTTAGCGCACACTTTGTAGGTAATGCTTCGTCTAACACCTTATAAAATTCTCGATTTTCTTCGTTTTCTATATACTGAATAAGGAATTTGATATTGGCTAGTTTTTCAGAATTAAGCTTTATGAAATGATCATAGGCATTAATTGGAATCAAGTTAGTAATTAGTTTTTGACCTCCTACTTTGAAAAGAGCGAAATAATTTGAATACTCCACTGTCATAGTTTCTCTAAGTTTAAGTTTATCATTTGTAGTGAACATTACAGATCGACATTTTGAAATTTCTTGAATTGATTGTTTCATTTTAGTCGCATAAAACTGTGTATAGTCTCGCACCCTCAACGTTGGGAATGCATCCGCATTTTTGGTAAATAAGCTATGTTCCAAAAACACTATTTCAAAAGGATCTTTATTGTTAGGATTATCTACCTTTACAGTCATAAGTCCTTTTTTTTCTATCAGAGCAAAGCATCGGTCTATTGGCATCATTGAATGCCCTGGAATAGAATAATATATCACGATTTTTTGAAAAAGCCTAGATGCACAAAGAGAATCCAAATACCTAAACAAAATTTGTTTTTATTCTGCGAAAAACAGTTGTCCCAAAAAATTGACAATATAACTTTTTTATCGGTTTTGTATTTCTTCAGATAGAAATCTAAAGCTGTAATAACTTCATTAGGGCCCTTGGTTGCAGAATTTTCAGTAAACCACAACATTATTTATTCTTATTTTTGGAAGGAAGCCATTTTTCATCGTCGTCTGTTGAAAATTGATCTATAAAATCTATAAAAAAACAAGGCTACTACATGAAAACAACAACACAAGTTAGGTACCTACTTTCTTAACACTTAGGTTTTTCTTGCACGAAACCTCTCGTCACTTTATGCGACTTGAGAAATAAGGCACTTCAGGCTAAAACTAGACAGAGTAATTGAAAGTACATTTAATTTATATCTAGATGGTGCTACTAGTTTAAATTCGCAAAAATGTTACTTAGGGACTTTTTTATTGAGCCCTTCATTTGTTCTTTAGAAGAAAAATACACAGAAAACAAGTATTTTGTTATGTATATGTCATTTATTAATTGAAAAATATAATTAGCGGAGAAAAATACAGATTGTCTCGATATTTTGTGAAAGTGTTTCTCTGTATTCATATGACAGCCAATGTTGAATGAAACATAGTGAATAATATATCTTTCCATATTACGCTTTTATTAATTATGGACTGGCATGGAAACAGCAGGTTTCGAAGCAGCTACTCCTTTTCTCCATAAAGAAGTTACAGTCTTGGTTTGGGTGTAGAAGTTCAATCCTTGCTTACCGTAGAAGTGCAAATCACCATGGAAACTACCTCTTGAGCCAGTAAAACTAAACATCGGCAGAGGAACAGGAATAGGAACATTTACACCGACTTGACCAGCATCCACTTCGTTGATGAACTGTCTTGCGTGACTTCCGTTTGAGGTAAATATGGCCGTGCCATTACCATAAGGATTTGAGTTGATGATTTGGATGGCGTCTTCCAAGGTATCCGCAGACATGATACATAATACCGGGCCGAAGATTTCTTCTTTGTAGCATTCGTAGGAAGGTAAAACATCTGTCAGGAGAGTGGGTCCTACGAAATTTCCATTTGGATATTTTTCTACTTTGATATTTCTTCCATCTAGTGGACATTTTGCACCCTGAAAATACGAAAAGATTATCTTCATGATTATAGAAATACTAATTGTAGCCATATATATATATGACTTGTAACATTCCTCTCACAAAAAACTATAATCTGAAAAGAGGGAAAAATGTTAAAGTACTCAAGAGTACAACCAAGTTTTTGTTGGGGGTTTTCCGAGCTTAGAACTGAAAGATATTCGACAGGTTTTCAGAAATTTCACAGAAAAATAATTTATTATATAAATCACAAACAAGTATAAAACGAGGTCATAGGAACCAAAATATTGATGTAACTTGTTGCAGTAATACCTAGATTTCCATTTTTTTCAAGGACAAAACACAACAAGTACAGGGAAATCCTTGAGGCGCTCTCAGAGCGGTGCCTGTGAGATAGTAGCGATTCACATTGGATTTGAATCACTGGAGATCAAATCTATTCGGAAAAATGTTCTCAGGAAGTTTATTCCACATAAACGCAGTTCTCCAGATGAAAGGGTTCTCAAAAAGTGGAGTTCGATGTGTACTGAGTTGAACCCGAAAACGATGAGCAGCCACAGTCCATCGCGTATTTCTGATATGTACCGCTCTTGGTGGAATCAAATGTGCCAAGTCACTTGAACACTCCCGTGAAAGTATCTATAGAAGAGAGACAAATCTCCAACCGTTCTCCGATGTTCCAGGCTATCGAGTTGCACTTGATGTTCGTGTCTCCAATCAGGCAGATGGCTCTTTTCTAGATGGAATCCAGCAACTTCAGGGTACAGTTTTCTAGTTCGGAGCAATGTTCCAAGCTTTTGAAAAGCAGCCTTTGCAACTCCAGCGACACGATTGTGCCAAGACATATTGGTGTCCATTTTAACACCCAACAGATTTATCTAAGTAGAAAGCGGAATTGTCTGGCCTGACATCATATCTGGTTCAGAGACGTTTATCTTCTTGGAGAAAACCAATGCCTGAGTTTTTGTGGCAGTGAAGTGAATCTGGTTGCTTTCATCCCAATTCGAAATCACTTCTAGATCCTCATTAAGATATGCAACCTCTTGTTGCCGGTGAAGATGTGCCTCCGCAGCCGATTTCCTGGTATCCAAATAGAATGATGAGACAAGTGTGGTAACGTCAGCAAAGCAATATATTAGATTCTTGTTTTTTTTTCCAATAAGTCGTTGATATACAATAAAAAGAGAGTTGAGACAATAATGATCCCTGGGGAACACTAGCGAAAGGCCTTAGAAATATCAAGCGCAACAGCTCTTGATTCTTCATGTTTCTCGATTGCGTTATTCCAAATATGGGTGACATACGATAGAAGGTCGACTGTTGATCTTTGTTTCCGAAAGCCATATTGATGATCGCTCAAGATGTTGAATCATTCCAAATATTTGCGGATATGGTGGTTTACTACTTTATCCATGATATTTGATATCACTGATAGCAAAGCAACTGATCTATACTTATGATGCACTGTTTGGAACCTTTGGTGTAGTAATTAATATTACTGGAGTTTCATCTCAACACCTCGATACATTTTTCTATCACCAAGTGATCATCTTCAAGAGGAAGATTAAACTAAATATACATATAATGTTGTCTTTATCTGATTCTATTTTAGACATCGTAGTTCATTCCTACTGTAGTCCAACAACTGTTTAGTTTCAAGCTTCGAAGGATGGATAAACGCCTTGAAGATTCTGCCAGAAGTCCATAAATATTCTTGTCATCCAGATGTTGAATCTTTGTTTGGCAATGCCTGAAGTGATGCCAGATCAGAGACAATATGTTAAGTCTTCCTATCAAGGAGAGTCGTTTTTGGCAATTGTTCGGTAGGAGCCAAGAGCTCCTCGTATTACCAAATATGGTATAATGACGCCAAATTGAGTTAAGAGTTCAATAATGGAGAGGATACGTTATTGAATTTTTGTAACACGAATTCAATTATGGAGTTTTTGAAAATTTTCAAAGACAGGACTAATATTTGAATATATCAGGAAACACAGTAATTTATTTCTCAATTTCACATTGAATTTCTAATATATAAAAATCTTGTATCAAGTTGTTTATGGTCACACTACTCCGAAACGAGTCGACCAGTTTTATGAAATCTTCCAAGTATATTCGTTAGTTATGAAAATAAGTTATGAAGTATATTTCATACCGTTAGGTAATTAAGATCTCGCTATGCCAGGGCAGCTAATATTGAATTGAATTTCAAGTTTCCAATCCGATAACTGATGTGACACAGTGACAGAAAATGTCTAAACAAAGAATGTTAATGCTTCTTTTTCTTCTGATTGACTCGGACGTTACTTAATGAAGATCAACAGTAATTTCACAAACTATACCGGAAACCATTTGATCTTCACGAAATTTTACTTTGAAAATTTTACGACATCACTATCACAGTAGCCTTATTGTACTGAATAACATACTGAAAACTGATTCTTGACTCCAACTGTCATATACCCCACGTAATCACCAGTGGAAACTACATTCTCAGGTACATACTCGATTAATAATTGATTGAATAGGAGTACATAGTCAATCACAATTAATTGAGTAAGAACCGTTTTCTTGGTTGTTTGTGAAAATATTAGTTATTTTTCCGTAATTTTTTTTATGATCTAGAAAATAAATAACTTTCCATTCAAGTTATTTCTTGGTTACCCCTTAAATTTTTCATTACTACGAAAAAACCAACCTGTTTGATTCCTGACTCGATAAGTTGTAGAATCCTCCGTTTCGACTGCGGCGAAATGACGGGTCCCACATCAGTTCCTGGCTCATGCCCTGCATTCACCTTCAGTTTCTTTGCCCTTTCAGCTATTTCTCCTATCCAGTTCTGAGCTTCTCCGACTAAAATTGCTACGCTCAGTGCCATACAGCGCTGACCTGCAGCGCCAAAGGCAGCACCGATCAACTGGTCGATAGCGGCATCTTTATTGGCATCTGGTAAAACAATCGCGTGATTTTTGGCACCCATGTTCGACTGAACGCGTTTTCCGTTCGATGCTCCACGTTGGTAGATGTGTTTTCCAGCTCTGTCGGATCCTACGAAACTGATTGCTTTGATGTCTGTATTATCGCAGATAAAGTTGACAGAATCGTGGGTACCGTGAATAACCTAATAAAACAGTGTATTAGAATAAAAATTAAAGTTGAAATTAATATTATTTCTTATGACTATTGGTGAAACCGTCAAATATATGATCGTTTCTTGTAATGCAACACCTCCAAACTACGCTCTACGCTAACTCGTATTTATTTATTTTTATTTTAATATGTGACCTCTCTTAATATCAACTGGTTAGTAAAGAAAAATCAAACACCCACATAACGCCTCTTTGGTGGTTCATGGTCAACCATAGGTTCCGTTGAACTGGTGTGTCTTCAACACCAAGACTTTTATTTTAAACTCGTCTGTACCCAATACCGACTTATGATTTTACTGCCGATTTTTCTTAAACTTCGCACCACAAGCTCAGACAAAATAACTCCCCTATTTAGACCACCTTCCTCAGCCTCGAAGGCTGAGGGATGAGACCCCCGATTTCGTCTCGACGGGCTCTGGTGACCGACTTTTTGTGTCTCTCGCAAAAAACTTCCAAGCCCTCGTGTCAGCAACGCTAGCCACAAAAACCTCATCTCAGCGTTTTTAGCATTCCCAAGCGTATGACCATCGGCAGGATGTAATATATACATTTGTTTAGTTTAGTCATGACCATAACGATGCTCAAAGATCTGACAGTCATAGTTCAAACGCTTTTTCACCTGGGAAAATATCGACACCGAGGAACCGGGTGAACGACCTCGATCTTTATGAATAAAATGATATTTTACGTTAACCATCGCAATGGCAGTTATTACAACTTATTTGATTTCATTATACTTGTAAGACTGGTTTGTATATACTTAGTATGTATTTCACTTACTATTGTGAAATGTACAGTTTTATTAGGGTATCCAATGTTGGAAATATCAACGGCCTCACGATAAGTTACATGATTTTCTCTAACAAACAAAGTAATTCGAATTTTATCTTCAAAACTCAATTTGTCCAGTATTTTACTCCTTCCTGGGTCATTCTGAAGTTTAATGACAAATTTTAAGTAACCATTCACTTTGTTTTTGTGTTTGTATAGGTGTAATGATTATATTCATTCAAGTTATATACATACAATAGTTTCAATAGCAGACAACTTGATTCAATTATACGTTTGACAATACTACAAATCAAATAATCTAAAGAAACAATGCGTTCAGGCCAGTCTTCTTTCCTAGAAGCTAATCTTTCCTAAAATGTTTCATTTTCAATTTGAGTTACGTTCCTATAGTTGCGATTGAATGAAAAAATCGTATGAATGCTTTTTCGAACTGTCAAGACAAAAGGAAAACTGCCTCTCCCGATGACATAAAGTCGTGATTTCATGCAAGAAATGCATGTTGAAGACAACCCGAAAGTAAGTTCCAGAAAACACCATTAAAGATGATAGGGTTCCATGTGAATGAAATTTTATATCTATGCTCTTTCATATATAACGTTTTGTAGTGTTTTTTGTATAACTCAATGTTCTTGTAGAAGTAGTATTATAGCCAATGTTATAATAATTGGAAAAGATGTATTCCGTAAAACATCAATCGATAATTTTCCTGATATCTAATTGATCCAATTCCTGAAAAAAAATATGGCAGATGTATGTCATTTGATCACATGACAGTGTCAAACATATCATTGAGACTTTCCTAATGACTGGATCGTCTGCCATTCAGTTTCCTTCAAATAAAATACCTGCGTACTTGACAAATGTATGTTATGTTCAAAATGGCACGGAATATCATGACTTGAATTGGGAAAGAAATTATTCTCTTTACCTTTTGCAATAATAAAAATGAGAGTCTCGCTAGCGATCGGTCTATAATTAGTCCTTAGAAAACTAGTTAGTAGTGTAATTTTGAGTAACTGAAAAGAAGATGTGAATACCACTGGATTAGTTTGTGATCTGCGAATAAAGAAGTCCTTGATTCTAATTGACTATATGACTTCCTAGTACACCAAAGTGAAAAGAAGTAGAAACATATATTCAATTGGCTGAGCTAAAACAAAAGACTGTCTGACGTCAAAGAAAATTTTCATTGGATCAACCTGAATCGCGGAACAAAAGTGAAAGGACTTCAATGTTTGATTTCGATTTCTTATAAATTCTGATGATGTATAAGGATTTAATACTTTTAAATACGACAAGTGACCTACTGATGAAAGAGAAGAGGTCATAAAATAGGTTGCAAAACTATATTTTACCAGTGTGAATGAACAAAACAAACAAAAAAAAAACTTCATATACGACTGCAATCAATTATATAAATGACTGAAATGAATTATAATAGTGAAAATTATGTTTATTTCGTGTATCTGCATAATGTTGNTTCTCCTCTTTTCTGACGATATTCGTCTCGCCAGGAGCTGAAAACTCCACGACAAATATGTCTTGCTCTGGTGGTCGAGAAGAACTACATCAGACTTATAAGCTTATATGAGCCTGAGAGTGGAAAACGAATAGTTCCAATGAATTCGGCACTTCTCGTTCCCCACGACGGATTTAATATCCCCCGGATCGTTGGTAACACCAGTGTCTCGTCAATGCCGTGAGAGTGCCATATATGGTAATGAAGCACTCTAGTCGCATTATGTCGATGGATATAGGCCGAAACCGCATATGCTGGACATGCTGATAGCAGGTACATTAGAGTTTCTGGCGCGTAGTGTCAGGAACCTCTATACCCATCACGCGACTGAAGTAGACTGAGGTGTTAAAGATACCATCCTTGCATGCCATGATGAACCCCTCAGTTACCGACTCAGGTCGAGTTACCACGACGGATTTAATATCCCCCGGATCGTTGGTAACACCGGTGTCTCGTCAATGCCGTGAGGGTGCCATATATGGTAATGAAGCACTCTAGTCGCATTATGTCGATGGATATAGGCCGAAACCGCATATGCTGGACATGCTGATAGCAAGTACATTAGAGTTTCTGGCGCGTAGTGTCAGGAACCTCTATACCCATCACGCGACTGAGGTAGACTGAGGTGTTAAAGATACCATCCTTGCATGCCATGATGAACCCCTCAGTTACCGACTCAGGTCGAGTTACCACGACGGATTTAATATCCCCCGGATCGTTGGTAACACCGGTGTCTCGTCAATGCCGTGAGAGTGCCATATATGGTAATGAAGCACTCTAGTCGCATTATGTCGATGGATATAGGCCGAAACCGCATATGCTGGACATGCTGATAGCAAGTACATTAGAGTTTCTGGCGCGTAGTGTCAGGAACCTCTATACCCATCACGCGACTGAGGTAGACTGAGGTGTTAAAGATACCATCCTTGCATGCCATGATGAACCCCTCAGTTACCGACTCAGGTCGAGTTACCACTCGACCTGAGAAAAGCGAAAGGTAGGCGATTTGCTAAGCCAACGTCTTCAATGCTATTAAAGAAGACCCCATGCTTTGGCTTATCCTTGTGTTGTCGCAGAAGTGAGGTGATTTTTGCGGCTCGCTAAATGGGTTCCGGTGATAGAGTTGTGATCACTTCGTTCAGTGTCGAAAACTGAACCAAGTTCACCAGCTGCTCGGGCAGCTGTCCAAAAGAGAAATGCTCCAATTCCTGCTCTCTCATGGTGGCGGACCATGCATAGAAGGGGATCCGAACTCCATTACCATTCTGTCATGTAGACACTCTAAACTCAAAAGTTCAAACTCATTATTATTGTTATTATTATTATAATCATATGCATTCAAACTTACGCAATCCTCTCATAACATCTCCTTCAGCATCTGCCAGAGTCTTTCCTTGTTCCAGCGTTATATTTTCCGCTATCTTCTTCATGTCTCTTCTGAGAACCGCCTGCAGCTTCAACATCAGTTGCTGCCTGGTTAGTACTGATGTCTTACTCCACGAACTGAAGGCATTTTTGGCAGACTCTACAGCTGACTCCATTTCAGCTTTCGTTGAAAGTGGAACCTTCGTTACCAAATTGTTGGTAGCCGGGTCATGTAAATCCACCCATTCTGTCGCCTTGGAATCTTGGAATTGTCCGTCTATGAAGAGTTTGGTTGTTGGAGCAACATTTGAATAACTTCGTATCGTACGAATTAACGGAGACGCCTAGAAATAAAAGTATAAATTGAAAAAACTTTACTCAGAGATTCAAATAAGTAATTATCCTATTAAATCGGAGTCTTTGGAAAAAAAACCCTTTGGCTGTCTACTTCTCCATCAATGTATAGGATCTGGAAACTTCGAAGATGGAACAAAAATTAAATGAGGTTGAAATGCGTTCTTCCGTTAATCATTTCATCTTATTCAGTTTTCATTTCAAACATTTCTAATAGGAATAAAACTCATATCATAAACAGAAACGCTACAAAAAATAATACATGAGAGATTGATGATATGAAATTTTTTTTCTACGTAATTCAATGTTCATAATTGAAAGTAGTTGTTTTCAGTTTGTATCTGAAAGAAATTTCTGTGTATGATTTACATATATCTATAGAGTTTTCATTGGAATATTCATATCTTTTAGCCGTTTATGAAAAGTTTTTCTATTTTTATAGTAGGAAGCCAGAAATATTTATTTCCAAAAATCCTGTCCTGACAGTTATTTTTTTTTTCAACAAACGAAATTTTCATTGCTGTATCGCATTCAAATTTATCGAAAGGGGTGCTGATGAGTTGACTAGTAGTATTTCAACCCGAAACTTTGAAGTAGGTATATCTGGAGATGGCAAATTTACCAAAAATCAATCATTCAATATTCATATTACTCGAGGACCTGAATTTTTCGTTAACTGTTACTTCCCATATAATACTGTTAGAGATGCAGTGAACAATTCATCTATTGCAGAACCAGGGGATATTTGTTGTCGGTAAGATTGTACAGTACATAGATATAGTGGTTATATCTGATCACTGTCTCTATAATAAATGGATTACCAAATATAGGCCATTTCTTTGGCCAGTACGTTTTCCTGATCTAACTCATATGGACTAATAAATATGGAGACATGTAAGAAAAATTATATACGAAGATAATATAATGACTGAGAAGGATATAGTGATGAAAATTGTACAAAAAATACAAAAATCGTAAAGTTTCATCAGAAATGATGTAAACTCTGCCGAAATTATATTTATCAATTTGAAAGTTTCAATATAGTTATCAAGCAGAACGTAAGTTAGTTGCTAGAATTTTGGTGGATCATGATATGAAAAAAATACTATTGTTTTTATACAACGTGTAATGTTACTGATATTGGAGATTTCTCTTTTGTTGATTTAACAATATTTATTGAGTAAGACATCTTGAAATGCACTGTTTTCTAAAAACAGAGTGACAAAATTCAGAAATATAGAAAATAATTTTTTTTCAGAACTTCTAAAATAATAAACATTTTCAATGGAACTTCTAATACAATTTTATTGTATAAAAACTATCTATGTGAAAGAATGTGTCTGTCCTTAGCTAGAAAGTACTCCATGCAATGAGTTGATATCCTGGGTTCCTTAAAAAAATATTGAATATTTCAAAAATGTTGGCGAAAAATGTGTGTGAATTTCATCAACCTGTATTCCGAAAACGCTGCACCTTCAGTGAGTTTTATTTACAAAATGTTGATGAATTCAAAATGATATTATTAGTTTTCTCATTGCTATACTGAAATTCCATGATAGCAGACAGTAAATTCTCAGAAATATTATTGCATTGAAACGAAAACATTGTTGTCAGGTTGTGATTCTAGATATTTCATCATCTGATTAAATATATAGAACGATAAAATATATAGAATCACATTATAACATATCACATCATAACATATTAGACAAATGGAAGTCCGAACTAATGAGAATCATATAAAGAGTCACAACCTGACAACAATGTTTTCGTTTTGATGTAATAAAATTTTTGAGAAAGTAGTGCCTACTATTATGGAATTTTAGTATAGGTCGGCCGAAATTCTGACGGAAAACTTTATTTAAACTATTATTTCATACGAAATTGGCCGCCGAGCTACGAAACGTATTTTTCGCTGGATCCAAATACTTCCCAAACGTATCCATTTTAGGTGCGATGTGAACCAAAAATGGACGTAACTGAGAATATATATTTGCCTGGAATCTGGACTTGCGTCTTCAAGACATACATTGGCCCTAATCTCTACACGTCCCTAGTACGTACTAGATATGTATTCAAGCTCGAACCACAGCTCGGCTAAGATAGAAGCTCAGCTCGAAATCGAAGCCGAGCCACGGCATTTTTCACGAACAGAGTTTCGAGCCTGGCCGTATTTATTCAAGATCACGCCCGAGCCGAGTCGACCTCTCGAGCCATTTCTAGCTTTTCGAATCATGAGAGGGACGTGACCCCTTCTCACCCTTCTTCCTTAGAGGTGAATTTATATTAAACCCAGGAATAGGTTGTCTCAAGTATAAGTGCAATCAGAGGGTCTAGCTCCCTTTTCAACCTCCTGAGGGTTGATTTTTGCGACCTTTGACATAACATATCGATACCGAAGTTGGTAAACTGTTTGTCTATCTGGTGGAAAGGAAGATAAACTCCAGAATGGTCAAAGCAGTATCTGAAAATAAATTTTATTTTTCCAAATTTAACAACTCAGAAAGAAACCACATGTTACTGTATTATGTCAAAAATTTTGAAAGAAACAAATATCCACAAACATCATCTATAAATTAACAATTAACACTAAACTATACAACAACTTGATTATTCAAAACATTTTTTGTCTCTTCTAAAAATCGTACATACATTTGGAACTACGCAATTTACAACCATCGGTATCGATTTCCTTAAATATCTGATTAAATTTTATACCGAGTTTTGTGTATCAAAAGATGGCGGGAGTACAGCTCAATTATCGTCTCCTTTGAGATAGTTCCAAAAACCCCCAATGAAATTGTCGTTTTATATCTAGCAAAGAGGTTCAGTACCAAATTTTATGCTTTTAACGTTAAAAATGTCACAAGGAAATTCAGCCCACTTTTTCTCCCATTTTTGAGGTATAATTTGGAAAAACCTAGGGATAAGTTTCCTTTTATATCTAACCAAAATGCAGAATACAAAATTTTATGTTTACAATTTTATAAATGACTAAAGTATCGTAATTGGTTCAAGCACTCTCTTGGGGGTGAAATTCCGAAAATTCCTTCATATTCCTTGCCTTGCTGTAAGGTGCAAATTTGAGGAGTTGATATATTAGTATTTCTTCAATATGAGAAAGAATGAATAATAATAGCTCAGTTCGGGTCGATTTGGCTCGAAATCGAGCTGAGGATTTAAAAGTCGAGCCGAGAGGAGGATTTTCGAAATCGTGCCGAGCCGAGCTCAAGTCAAACCTTGGCTAGGCTTGGCCCGAATACTCCTCTAGAATGCACAATATTTTTTTTTGTACATGCTCACTATGTCCATCAAACGTAGGTACTTGTGCTGTTTGGAAATTCATTCTAAAATAATGCCAGGCATTAAAAAATATTAAAATATATATACAAAGTATATCTTTGAAATAAGAAAGTTGTCGATTTCCCGTAAGGCTAAAAGTGAACGATAAACGTAATTATTTTTATGTTATAGAGTAAACCAGAAAACCTAATGATGCCAATTTTCAGAATATAATTCTTATTGTTTCCCCGTATATGACTAACCAACGAAAATCACTCTTTACCCTGTTTCACTGATTACTGAAACCTTTTTACCCATATTTATCACCGACTATCTTGGTTATTTGATGAACCGAAAGTCAATACGATACAGTACTTATCTATTTGCATTATCAATTATATTCAATGGAGTTATAGGTCAAAATGTAAATGTACCCATTGAAATAATAAGCTAAAATGGTTTCTTCAACCAAAATGTCATTACTTTTGAAAACACTGTTGGGAAAGTTGCATTGAATTGAAATTGAATTTGAAATGTTTAAAACTGAAACAGTTATTGATTGAAATTTAAAAGTGTCGTATTCAGCCTAGAAAAGCTTATTGTGCAGATTCAAGTAATTTATCTCAGTTGGACTTATTTATAGTTAAAAAATATGATATACGGATTGAATTGAGAGAAGTCAAACTTTAGAGATGGGGTTGACAATGAATTATAAATATAAATACCTATTAGGTGAAAGAAAAGATAAAGAAAAGAAAAGGGTATAAAATTTAAATTTTATTTTTATTTCTAACATGATACATGACCCATGATACAATATATGTTGTGACTTCTTTATTCTCCATACTTTCACAACAGAGACAGGCGAATACAAACAACCAAAACTGAACTTTTAACCCGCATAACGCATTCCACAAAACCCCTGTTTTTGAGGATCCTTACTATAAAAGTATATTCTCATAAGCAGTTTAATTTTCGATCGCGTTTCAAGAAGTTCAATCACACAGTAGCAAAAATGGTTTATAACATTTCCCGAGTGGTTCAAAATATATGTTTATAGAGCACTTGCGTATTCTGGAATATACTGCCCTAATTCATAGTTGGAATAACAAAATGTCCTGCCTAAAAATCTGTTTTATTGGAAAAATATTTCAAACTTCTCAAACTTTATTGAACCACGTTCATATGCCATTTATGTATGTTTCTTCATATAATCTGTATAGACTTCTTCTTATCGATAAGCAGAATTCAGTTATACTAGAATTACCCTAATAATGTAATAACATTTCAATTCAAACGTGTTACAAGAAAACCTTTTGAGTTTCACTAGTTCGGACTTCCATTGTCTAATATTCAAAATGATTTGAAATCCCCGAAACAACTGAAAAAAACAATTGAAGTCACACAAGAAGATCAACTAATTAGGTTCGACGTGGAAAGCCTTTATTCCAACGTTCCGGTCGAAGAAGCACTCCAAATCATACAGAGAAAGCTATCCGAAGACGGGAACCTGAAAGAGAGAACGAATCTACCTATAGAAGTAATTATGGAATTACTAGGATGCTGTGTACGAAACTGTTATTTCCAACTGAAGGACGAATTCTTTACACAAGATGAGGGACTGC